TGCTGATGAGTTGATGGGTGCAGCACACCAACATGGCACAAGTATACATATGTAACAAACCTGCATGTTATGCACATGTACCCTAGAACTTAAAGTGTAATAAAAAAAAAATCGAACAGAATAGAAAAATATAGAAAACAGAATATACTACAAGTACTAAAGATAAGTACTGTTTCATGAAAAAAATCTTAAATTATTTAAATACATTGTGTAGTCACACACATATAGATGCATACAAACATATATAAAACAAATGTATCTGTATATGTGTGCTGGGTCATAATGTAGTTTTTTTTTTACTATAACTCAAAATATAAAAAGTGTCTACTGGCCAGGCGCAGTGGCTCATGCCTGTAATCCCAGCACTTTGGGAGGTCGAGGGTGGTGGATCACCTGAGGTCAGGAGTTCAAGACCTGCCTGGCCAACATGGTGAAACCCCATCTCTACTAAAAATAAAAATAAAAAATTAGCCAGGTGTGTGGCACATGCCTGTAGTTCCAGCTACGCAGGAGGCTGAGGCAGGAGGATCACTTGAACCGGGAGGCAGAGGTTGCCGTGAGCCAAGATCACACCACTGCACTCTAGCCTAGAGTGAGACCCTGTCTCAAAAACAAACAAAAAAAACAAAGTACTACCAAGAGTAGATATTTTTCTTCATAAACCAAGAAGCATTTTCTATTCTTTGTGAAACAAATCATCCATTTAGAGTTAACCTTAAGAGATTCTTCTTTTTCAAAAAAATGTCATAGTAAAAGAAAAAAGCTAATAAACTTGATTTTATATATTCATAGTTTACAGCCTTACATCATTTCCAATACCCTTTCTCAATCTAAACATTTGCTTCATTGCAAATGCCCTCCTCTTTTAGTCTCCTCCTCCTGCTGCTATATGGTCTTCTCTGTCTACATCGCTGATTCCTCTTAATCCTGCTATCTCCTAATTATAGAAATTATCTTTCTCCTTGAGAACACTGCAATCCCTTCTGTACATTTTTCCCTTGCAGAAAATCTACCTGTTTGCATGGCTTTAAATAATATTTATATTTTGGCCGGGCGCGGTGGCTCAAGTCTGTAATCCCAGCACTTTGGGAGTCCGAGACGGGCGGATCACAAGGTCAGGAAATCGAGACCATCCTGGTTAACACGGTGAAACCCCGTCTCTACTAAAAATTACAAAAAACTAGCCAGGCGTGGTGGCGGGCGCCTGTAGTCTCAGCTACTCGGGAGGCTGAGGCAGGAGAATGGCGTAAACCCGGGAGGTGGAGCTTGCAGTGAGCTGAGATCCGGCCACTGCACTCCAGCCTGGGCGACAGAGCGAGACTCCGTCTCAAAAAAAAAAAAAAAAAAAAAAAAAAATTATATTTTGTCTCTGTCTTCTAGGTGCCTCTATCCTTGTGAAAGAGACATATATACATGCTATGCTCTTTCATGGCTCTTGCTTGTGCATAAACTGTTCCCTCTGCCAAAGGAAAAAGCCCAGCTACAAATGAAAGATGAGGAGGAGGAGGATATAAAGTTAAGAAATTTGCGGGGCCGGGCGCGGTGGCTCAAGTCTGTAATCCCAGCACTTTGGGAGGCCGAGACGGGCGGATCACGAGGTCAGGAGATCGAGACCATCCTGGCTAACAGGATGAAACCCCGTCTCTACTAAAAAAAATACAAAAAAAATAGCCGGGCGAGCTGGCGGGCGCCTGTAGTCTCAGCTGCTCGGGAGGCTGAGGCAGGAGAATGGCGTGAACCCGGGAGGCGGAGCTTGCAGTGAGCTGAGATCCGGCCACTGCACTCCAGCCTGGGTGACAGAGCCAGACTCCGTCTCAAAAAAAAAAAAAAAAAAAAAGAAAAGAAATTTGCTTGCTCATTTTTTTTTTTTTTTAAGGGAATGACTTGCTAAGGAGATTGAATCAACAAAAAGGGAAGTTATATTTATTTAATAATTCTTAGAGGAAATAATTACTGGAGCAAGGTCTTGAAGAGTTGAAAGTTAGTAGTTGTAAAGATCTCGGATGGAATAAAGAGGGATATATCTCTTCTACAAAGATTGGAGGAATATAAATAAGGATGAGAATGTCTATAGGCATTTGGGGGAGAGGTGCAGATATAATACCATATATCTGCATGGCATTATACATCAACAGAAGCTGATGGCCTTTATTTTTATTTGTAAAGCAGCGGGTATAATGAGCATGGTGGGGAAGGTGGTGGGGTTAGAGAATTCTGGAGAACGATACAAAGTTTACAAAAGCACTTTGGAGCATGAAAAAGGATACTGATTAGGACCCGCAGGAAGCTTTGAGGGTGTAGTTAAGGGTGCAACAACGAATTGATTGTGGTTCCAATTTCTTCTGCTGTTGTCCTATGCAGCCTCTGGGGTAGGCATGAAGAAGGTAAAGGATCAATTGATTGAGTTTTACTAGGCAGATGCAACATAAGGCAATGAGGACAAAGGGATTAAAAACACAGGGGTCAAAATGGTTAAAATGATTGATGGAGAAGAAAATAATTCTGGCTGGGTGTGGTGGCCATGCCTATAATCCCAGCACTTAGGAAGACAGAGGCAAGAAGATAGCTTGAGCACAGGAATTCAAGACCTGCCTGGGCAACATAGTGAGACCCCATTCTCCAAAAAAAGGAAAAAAGAAGACAAAAAAAAGTAGGAAATAATTATAAGAGGTGTATGATAAACTGAAATAAAATGGGAGAGTCAAGAAACTAGAGCTCTGTGACATGGAAAAACAGATATTAAAGGAGTAAGGGAGTAAAAAGCTAAAAGGCTGGGAGACATGCTCATAGACTCATATGAGGTTTTGGTATTTTAGAGGAGAGGAATTCTGGGTGATGGGTATGGCTATGTGTGTATGGGGCTAAAGTACAGTGTAACTGAAAATGACTGTCCACAAGGACAATGAAGTCATCCAGCATGATACGAAAAATTAAGATAGAGATTGACTGGGAGCCAGGAGTCCAAGTTCACAGTGAGCAACCAAGAGGTCAGCAGATGCTAACGAACAGGAGTGGCAGAAATAGAACAATACTGATGCTTAGAAGAAGATTCATTTTTATAGAAATACACAGAAATGCTGATTTGGAAGAACAATGGTAGCTAAGAGAATGCTGGACTCAGTCTCTTGTCTTCTGGCAGCTCTTTCTCACTGACTCTTTTTACCTTTTTCTATCTCCTGACTCTCAATACTCTATAAAAGAGAACGATCAGCCTCTAGTTGAAGGGGCTGCTGAAAAAGGTTATCTGAGTAAGATGCTTCCAGAAGTTGTGGACAAGCCAGGAAAAAAATCACCCAAAAAACAAATTAGTAAAGTCATGAAACTATTCATCTTTAGACTAATTCACACTAATACCTGGTTTATGATTATGCTAGTTATAAGATTATGGTATTTCTAAAGTCTTTGCCAAGAGACAAGAGTATATTCTCAATAGCAGGCATGTAATTTACATATTAAATATAAAAAGAAAAAATAGAGTAATTTTATATTTTTGATATTAAGTACAATTACAGACTAAAATTTTTTTCATAAATTACTGCTCAGGGGATAGATACATTACATTCAAAGGGATAGGTATTCCAGTTACTAGGCTGTAAATTTGGCAGTGTAACAGGAACTATGTGTAAGGTTGCGAGTCTAGATGAAATATCCTTCTGAATCGAACTCACTTTGTTCAGATTCTGTACTCATGAAACTATCTGATTATTAACTAGGTCTCACAGGACTCTTGATGTCTAAGGTAGTGCTCTAGAGTAAAGTTTCCAAAATTTTTCACTATAAAGACATTGTTTTACTAATGTATATTAGGTATGTTACAACAATACATGTATGAAAAATAAAATTCAAAAGACTCAGACATAAATTTATATAAGTTCCAACATTTTCTCACATTCCAATGGCATACTGTAGATGCTACTCTGGAGGCCAGTGCTTTAGAGAAATAAGTATGAGTGTTCTAGGCAATGAAAAGGTATAAAACTGCCATCATTGATAAGCTGGAACTATGTAATTCATCTCTGGCTAAAATGATAATATCAAGTTTCTGACTCTTTAAGCTTTGAACTGGGCCACAGTGAAGCTATACCAAGCTACTGCCTCTCAATGAAGTCCCAATATCCTTTTGACTGAAGATTCTAGGCAATGACCACAGAAAGCTTAAACATTGAGAAACCAGATGTGTTCTTATCCCAGCTAAGAAAATACCTCTTAAGTGTAGTATAGTAAGGAAAACAAGACTCAATTTAAAAACAATGATCATTGATCAGAAGTTTCAACAATGATATGGTACAATTTATCCTTCCCTGGCAGGAAAAAAAAAACAAAAAAACAGTCTCTTAATTACTCACCTGAATAAAATGTGTTGATTTTGGCAAGTTCTTTTTCACAGGTTTGGAAAAATTTCTCTTCAAACTTGGCAAAATACCTCTTTACTGTGTCCTCATCTGTAACTGAAAGACAGGAAAATGATATTTAAATTTAATGCCCAAAGGCCAATTGAGAAAACTAAGGAAACAAAAACTAAGATTACTTTTTGAGTTTTTAAAATGACAACTTTATATATATTTCTCTGAAAAAACGAATTGTGAATCATATTAAGAAAAGACTAATCAAAGGCCTCTTCAGGCCAAGTGCGGTGGCTCATGCCTGTAATCCCAGTACTTCCGGGGGCCAAGGCGGGCAGATCACTTGAGGTCAGGCGTTCAAGACCAGCCTGGCCAACATGGTGAAACCCCGTCTCTACTAAAAATACAAAACTTAGCTGGGCGTGGTGGTGGGCACCTGTAATCCCACCTACTTGGGAGGCTGAGGGAGGTGGAGGCTGCAGTGAGCCAAGATTGCACTACTGCACTCCATCCTGGGTAACAGAGCAAGACCCCATTTCAAAAAAACAGAAACAAAAACAAAACAAAAAAACCTCTTCATAAGACCACACACAAGCCTTCTTTAAGTGAATGAGAGTTTCCTAAAGCTCTACTATAATAAATTTATAATGTGGGAGAAAATAAGGTTCTAAGACTGTAGAAGAGAAAAAAAACTGTAGACAGAATTGATCAAGGAAGATTCAAGGTACTAGGGGCTGAGCTGAGTAGAATTCATTCAGCAAGAGAATAAATATCTCGGGGAAGGAAAAAATGCAAAGCAAAGGTATGAAGACATGAATGTATAGTATGTTTCTGGGGAAAACGAGTTGATTTTATTCTATATTAAATTGCTATCTATTTTACTTAAACTGTACCCCATACAGAGAAAGAAGTGTGCACTGAATAGTGTAAATTATAAGTTCCAAACCTTCAGGAGCTGGGAAGGTAACATAAATGTGTTGAGCAAGTAGATGATTGTGCAAACGTGGTGAGAAATGACAAAGTGACACCTTCAGGAGAAGGAGTGGTTGAGATTCTGACAAGCTGGAAAGGATATGTCTGTCTAGTTGCTGCCATGTGGTGATGTCGGCCCAGTTTGTCAAATCTTTCCATTTTTCAGGAGAAGCTATAAATCCAGATATTTTAAAAACACTGTGTGGGCCAATCAATACACGTCTCTGCAGGCTGGATTCACTTTGTCAGTTCTGTCATGTAGCCTATCAACCTACTGAATCCCATATGTAGAGATATATGTAACTTCAGGAACCCAAGACTAAAAGGGTAGGTTTCTTGGCCAAGTGAGATCTATGTAGACTCTCTAGATGCTAATAATATTAATAATATAGAACTATCCTATTTCTGGATCTCTGAGGTACTCTAAGATTGAAAAGTGTAGAAAAAGTATAGGTTCCTTTCTGAGCCCCAGGTACCCCAAAACTCAGTGCAGTCCCAGAAACTCTTAAAATACTCCACCTGTCTAGGAATAAGGAAAATGGTCCAAAAGCAGTATGTGATACACATACACATATACATAAATTCATATTATTGCATGGTATAATTTGTAGTACCAGAGATATTTTAAAGAAAAACAAGGCCGGGCGCGGTGGCTCACACCTGTAATCCTAGCACTTTGGGAGGCCGAGACGGGCGGATCACGAGGTCAGGAGATCGAGACCATCCTGGCTAACACAGTGAAACCCCGTCTCTACCAAAAAATACAAAAAACTAGCCGGGCGAGGTGGCGGGCGCTTGTAGTCCCAGCTACTCGGGAGGCTAAGGCAGGAGAATGGCGTATACCCGGGAGGTGGAGCTTGCAGCGAGCTGAGATCCGGCCACTGCACCCCAGCCTGGGAGACAGAGCGAGACTCCATCTCAAAAAAAAGAAAAACAAAAGCTTAAGGTTCTAAAAAGCATGCTGAATCCATTCATTTTATTTGAATAACACTGCACAAAACTTTTATTTAAACAAACCTGCTTCTCTAATTCATATGCTTTAGACCTGAGCAGATAATGCAGGATGTTGTATTGATTCTGCAGTAAAACAGGATGGCCACTTTAAACTCCGCAATCTAGGTACAATAAGGGCTACAGCTGCCCAAGGTCACTGGGAATTATTTTTTTCAAAGCATGAAGCAGGCCACAGCTTTTTCTTTCTTTCTTTCCTGCCTTTTTTTTTTTTTTTAAAGCTGAGTTTGAGTTAAGGAAACTCCATGGTAACAGATGCAGCTCTTACAATAGCATCTGAATAGCTGATTTAAAATAAGAGTAACAGCTTATTCTAATTAATTACCTAATTATTTTTATTTTATTCTCTATTGTTAGGAAAGAAAACCCAAAAGTAAAACATGGGCTTGGTTGGTCATATTTACTGTGTTTTCCTCTTAACAGACAACTTTTATTAACATAAAGCAATAGAAATACAACTGTTCAGCAAAATGATTTAAACATAGCTTCTGTTCTTAAAATAATTTTTAATATATATTAATGTGCACATGGGTTGTATATTCAACATCAGCTATTTATAGTATGACCAAGAATTCAGAAACAAAAAATCTAGGCCTCTGAGAAACTAAAATATACATAAACTCCATGTGTTAAAGCATGAATATTCTACCCATGAATCAGTCTCCTAAAAATTTATTTCTTTGCTTTAAAGATTGTTTTATCTGGCCAGGTGTGATGGCTCATGCCTGTAATCCCAGCATTTTGGGAGGCCGAGGCAGAGGGGATCACCTGAGGTCAGAAGTTCAAGACCAGCCTGACCAACATGGTGAAACCCTGTCCTGTCTCTGCTAAAAATATAAAAATTAGTTGGGCATGGTGGCTCCTGCCTGTAATCCTAGCTACTCGGGAGGCTGAGGCAGGAGAATTGCTTGAACCTGGGCGGAGGTGGAGGTTGCAGTGAGCTGAGATCCCACCACTGGACTCCAGCCTGGGTGACAGAGCAAGACTACATCTCAAAAGGAAAAAAAAAGAAGAGAGACAGATTGTTTTATCTAAAACACCGGCAGTTTGTTTAGTTTTCTAGTTCAGACATAAAATAGCCACTAATCAGAAGAAGATAGAGTAAGGTTACAGTAACATGCACACATACAGACCAAGAAAAGAAAAAAAAAAAAAAACTAAGAGAGAAGGAGAAAAATATAAATAAAAACAGCAAGAATTGTGTGCAAAATAAGTTAAATGAAGGACAATGTTTTTGCCTTCTCAGATATCAAAAGGCTTGGTAAACTACTGTAATTAAAAGTACACTTTTAGTAAATAAGAAAAACACAGCAAAAAGAACAAAGTCCAGAAGTAAATCTTCATATATATAGAAATTTAGATTACGATAAAGGAGGCCTCACCTCAAATCTTAGTGAGAAAAGAATGAATTATACATCAATAGGGCTGGGTCAACCAGCCATCAATTTAGAAGAAACTCAAAATGGAGTTAAAGAAATGATATAAAACACTATAAAAAACAGAACATTTAAATAATTCCACATGGGGAAGGCCTTCTTAATATTACACAAAACACAGAAGTCATAAAGGAAATGATTGACACTTACACAAAATAAAAATTTCCATTTCACAAAACACCACAAGCAAATTAAAAGAAAAGCAGCAGAAATATATATCTACAACATTTAAAATAAATAACATGCAAAATATATTTTTTAAAATTCTTACAAGTCAATATTAAAAAGATAATTTGATTCTGTAAGAAAAGTAGGTTAATTACAGCAATTCATAGAAAAAGAAATATAAATGGCCAATGAACAAATGAAAGGATGCCAAATGTCATATAAATGCAACTTTTTAAAAAAAGGAAATACAGCTCTTCAACCATCAGGTTAGAAAGAGTTTTAAAATAGTGGTATCATTTGGCAATGGTAAGGATAAATGAACATACTCATTCCTTGTTGATGGAAGTGTAAATTTTAGGAAGACAATTTGGCAGTAGCTATCAAAATTTTCAGTGTTTAATCCCTCATGTAGGAATCAAACTGTAAACCTAGCACTGTTTTCCAGCAATGGTTCAAATGTTCCATTTTAGGACTTTTTTTTTTTTTTTTTTTTTGAGACACAGTCTTGCTCTGTCTGGACTGAAACAGACACGCTGGAGTGAAACGGCATGATCTTGGCTCACTGCAACCTACACTTCCTGGGTTCAAGCGATTCTCCTGTCTCAGCTTTCCAAGTAGCTGGGATTACAAGTGCCCGCCATCATGCCCAGCTAATTTTTGTATTTTTAGTAGAGATGGGGTTTCACCATGTTGGTCAGGCTGGTCTCAAACTCCTGATCTCAGGTGATCCACCTGCCTCAACCTCCTAAAGTGCTGGGATTACAGGTGTGAGCTACCACGCCCTGCCTCACCACTGTTTTTAATAGTGAAAAAGAAACAAATTGATGTCCAAAAGGGGAGTGGTTAAGTAAATTATGATATTACGTAACACTATGCATTTAAAAAATAATATACATACATCCTGGTGTGTATAAAAAATCAAGAAACACTGTTGAGGAAAAAATAAATAACAGAATATATATAGCACGATCCCATTAATGGAAAATATGTACATAAGTTAATATTCATATGTGCATTCATAGAAAGATTGCAAGGATGCGTAACAATCTGTTGTGGTTACCTCCTTTGAAAGGGGAGTAGGTATGAGAAGGATTATCACATTTTGCTATCTTCAATTATTATATTGTTTGAACCCATTAAAATGAAAAGGTATTCATAAAGGATAAATAAATTATACTGTATAAATAAAGGATATTATTAACTGGAAGAAAAGAAGAAACACACCATATGCAGACCTTTAAACTATACATAGTAAAAACTAATCAGCCCAGCATAGCTAGTTGAATAGAGTTTTTTCGTTTGTTTGTTTTGAGACAGCACCTAGCTGTGTCACCCAGGCTGAAGTGCAGTGGCATATTCATAGCTCACTACAGCCTCAACCTCCCAGGCTCAATCGAGCCTCCCACCTTAGCCTCTCTAGTAGCTGGGACCACAGGAAATAGATTATCTATACCAGAATATAGCGGTATATAGAATGATTAAGCCTTTCACTTCAGTTATGAGAAACTTACAGAATGC